CCATCGAGGGCAAGGGATCAACAACAACAAAAAATATATATAACAAAACGGTTGGAAAGCACTTTGGGCTTATGCAAAAAGATCAAAATAAAAGTGGGCTCAAGGGTTCTGTAAATGTTTATCTTTATAGATATAGATTTGTGTTATTTTTGTGCTTAAAATTTTGATATTATAAGAGAAGAGTGTAAGAATATATATGAAAATGTCATTAAAATTCTATTTAATATTATAGATTACAGTTTTTATAAAGAACATTCTAATATACTTTTATAGATCATATTTTGGCTTGCAAAATTGATTATGTAGGGAGTGAGTGGAGTGAAATCTATGAAACAAATATCTTAGAATATATATAATATTATATATTATTGTTTTCACAAAGAAATTTATATTATTCTTCTATAGAACCTATTTTGGCTTGAACCTAAGGAGCAAAAAGTATAGAAAAATTAAACAAAAACATAAGAAAACACATCTCTTATATTGCTTTAATTAAGAAATGTGTAGTAACCTGTATAGATATGTATTTTCATCCTGATTATATAGGGTAAAAGTTCAAATAAATTAATACATATTTAATAAATAAACTAGTAAAAGTAAGTAAACTATAAAACCGATCAAAATTATATACTGATAACATTAATTATTAATTATACAATTAATTAAAACCGCTTTGTGATATTTTACCTATGTCTATAAACATATATTGATATGCAACTATAAAAATCCGATATTAAGAAACACAAAGAAACGGCATTTTCCGGCTCATTAAATATTCTCCTTAGATCAGGACAGAGAACTTTAGTCCTCTTGAAGGACTTCTTGAGCATACAATGACATAACAGATTCGCGGCCAGCTGTCCCATCTTCTGACTTTCTGACATTGAAGTTGAGTTGACAGTCCTTGAGAGTATCTCCCAGCGGGAATAGCTCAAGTACCCTTCCACCCGACCCAAGTTTTCCACGAATCCCACGACTCCCCCGCTCGCTGCCAGCTCCCTGACCCTTGATCCTTGATCCTCAAGGAATACGCAATGAGAAACGCATTGCAATGCGATTTGCTATTATGCCAGGATCTTGCATTGATCGAACGAGCTCGTAAAATCGTAAGATCGACAGCGCATGTCACATAAACATGGCCAGGACACCGGGGCCCAAACGGCTGCTAATATAGGGCACGAGTGACCATGTCCATGTCCTGCCAGGACATCTGGACAAATATTTACCGAAGCTTCAGCTCGTAAATTGCCGCCTCCGCACAATGGACAGAGATTGAGAGAGAGAGAGAGCGACTCCTGGAGTACAAATCAGAAATCAAAGTGAAAGTAATGACCGCTTGCCGGGAAGAGAGACAGAGACATTAGGCTTCTGTTTCGGCTTCTAGTCCTGTTCCTACTCCTGCTCCTGCTCCTGCTGCTCCTGCAATTGTTCCACATTCTGGACAACACACGAGGCAAATCTGGGCTGAGACACCTTGCGACGTCGCCGTCGTGTGGGTTTCCTTTCTTTTCCCACCTTTTTTTTTATATATATATTTTTACTAGCTTGCCAGCTGTCCCAAGGACCAGATCTCTCACATTGTTGTTTGATCGCTGCTGCTCCAGGATCAGGCGGATGGCCTGACACAAAGGATACATTCGGCCGGGATTTACCTGCTTAGCGGAGCAATTCTGTGTTCTTTCACCGGAAGAAAAAGAGAGCGGTTACGGGAATAGAGAGAGCGGTTACGGGAATAGAGAGAGCGGTTACGGGAATAGAGAGAGCGGTTACGGGAATAGAGAGAGCGGGAGAGAGAGATCTAGGGGAACTCAGCGTTCAACAGGAGGTTTCCTCTAGCAAAAGAGAGAGCTAAGAGAGTGCTCTTACCTTTCCCTACCACAGCGACCTCTAACGGCTGCTCGCTGAAACTAGCCAAAGGATATACTTTCTCCTTGAAATCTCTTAAATATTTCCTAAACTCTTAGATGGATTTTATATGAGGATAAGTAACTGAATTTAAACAATAAAGGAATCATTCTATGGGAAACAGAAACCTGCAGGAAAACCCATCATAACTAAGTCAAAAATGCATTAATTTCAATTCGGAAAGCATTTCTATGTTAGTTTTTATAATCTTAATAAATCTGCATACTCAATTTTACATTTTAGAATGATTAAATTTTTGACCAATTTTTTTTGTCAATTTTAACGATAAAACCCCTTATAAAATGTTGAAAAAATTTTTTAAAAATTTTTTCTGCCTTAGATGGCTTAATCGATTCGACTTTTCATGCTGATCAAGAATATATATGATTTATAGGGTCGCAAATGAGTCCTTCACTGCAAAAAAATCCTTTGACTGAAAGGGTATAATAAACTAAAATGGGTTTTAAATTTCTGGTTTACTAGGCTTTACTTAAATTTAAGTTTCATTTTTGTTTCAAAAACTAATTAGGAAATTCAATTAAATATTGATTATTTATTCTGCTTTAATTGTGACTAAAAATACTACATTTTATGTTGCAGTATGTTTAAGATTCTTAAAAAAATATACAAAAAATCCTTTCTTAATTAAAAATTTTTTGTTTGATTATATTTATTTGTAAAAGGAAAGGCAAATATAAATATAAAGCTTCCTGTAACTGAATAAATATAAGAAATGAATAAAATTAAGAAGAAGTCAAATTTCTAATACAGAAAAATTATGTTTTTATAGTTTTTTCTTTTGATTTATCAATTCACTATAATATTTATTTTCGTTATCAATGAAATTCCCACACTTGACTCCCTATTTTTCCACTTTTCACACATATCTCTGCATTCCCTAGGAAGACATAATATTTGCCTTGGCACTATCAGCCTTATCTAATCTTAAATATTATACATAAACTAACTAAATAGTATGAGAATTTTCCCACTGAGATTCCGTTACTCTGGCCACAAAATCAGAACCAAAGAGAAACTATAATTACTCAGTTTTATGCTCTCACTCTCTCTCTCTCTCTCTTAGGGGGTTAATTGGCCACTTCGGCTAAGTTCGTCAGACTTCGGCTGCCTTCGGCGCAAAGCCTGCTCATCTCGGCTTCGGCGCGAGCCTTTGCCGAAGGTTGCGCATGCGCCTTTCTTCATTTCCGTTTCAGAACTCGTGCAGTGCAGACACTGCAGGCAAAAGTAATATTAAAAAAAAAAATACAAACCCCTACCCTTTTTGGCTTTTAAAAGCTTATTTTGGCAACTATATTTTTTTCTGTGCAAAATTTGTTAAAATAAAATTCAAAAACATAAACAAAATCAAAAGTTGTGTGAAATAAACGGTAGAGTTAAGAGTTTTTGCCAAGGATCACTACAACAATTAAGAAGCAACTGGCGCAGGACACCAGGCGACCTAGTCGCAAGCAGATCAAGTTTCCAGGTAAGTCTCAAAATGGTCATTCAATCCCTGCCAAAGAGAATGAGATCGAAATCAAGATCGAGATCACCGATCGATCAAATCCTATATCGATCTACACCTGGCAACTCTCGCACACTCACACTCACGTGTTGGTCCTTGCTCTAGATCTAATTTAGAAAAAAAGGAGGGAACCCAGTGAAAGTGGGAAAATAGCAACAGAAACCCCTAAGATCCCCTACCCCTAACCAAACCCGATCCCGATCCCAATTCCGATCCAGATCAGGGCCCACAAGACGCTACAAAAAAAATAATAAAGGGGTGGTGAGTCGTCCTCTAATGCATTTAATTTGTTGCTGCCTCTCCCCTAGACTTATAGATCCTGCTCCTTTTTCTTCTTATTATTTTTCGTTATATATTTTTTTTTTGTGTCCTGGCTGCCACCCTGTGCCTAATCCTTCGGGCACAAGTCACACGCACACGAAAAGGATCTGGGGCTGGCAAGAAAATATTTTTTTTGCTCGCCTTTAAAAGCGGCTGCCTTTCTAGTGCAATTTTACTTCGACCGGGGCTGGGATGACGTTTATGGATTACATGAAAACCCATTTTCTCTCTTTCTGTCTTTTCCTGGGTGTGTGTGAGTGTGTAGGAAAATACACACATCCATTCAGCTAAAGGACAAAGACAAGGATCTAAGGCAACTGGGATGAACCATTGACGATCCCCTTTTGGCTTTGCGCAATGCCGCATCTTTTTTTTCCTTCCATCTTCTTATATATATGTATATATAATTTTTTTTTTTTTTGCAAAATGGCATCATTAGGCTGGGGCGTAATTGTTGCACACACACACACACTGAGATAGATATCCTCACAGGATCAGGAGCATAGGGATCCGCTCAATTTTATGGTTGGCAACCGCAGCAGCGCGAAAAATCTGTCTTCTGAATTGAAATTAGCATAAGTTTAATTTCAATTTAAATGCAAACCTGAATCGTGATCCTTGGACCAGGACCTCGAGCTTGTCGAAACTCGTTTGCCGCAAAAAAAACAATTTGCAAAAATTCCGGCTTTGTCCAGGAGTCTCCTTTTCTCTTTGAGATTCTTTCTTTTTTATTTTTGCCTCGAAATTGTCGGAAAGAAGTTCCCAAAAACCGAGCAACAAACAGGAGCAGAGAATGGAAATGAATGGGAAAAAGGAGGAGTAGAAACAAACCAGAACCCTGCCTGGCACTGATCCTCTTGTTTGGCAGCCAGCTGCCAAAAGGAGCAGAATTTCAGGATTGTTTCGCCAACCAGATTGGTATAGAAATCAGCCAGAAAAATACGAAGAAGTCCCTTGCTTTTTTTAACAAAAAAAAATTCCTATTAATTGCAACATATTTATTGACTCAATTAGTTGGCAATAAGATGCACAACGCCCAGGTAATTGAATTTCAAGAGAGCTCTGGAAGTGAACCTATAATTTGAAGATTACGAAACACTTTGACCACGTTTTCATAATTAATTTTAGAGTGCTTTATGTTTATCATTTTTGTATAGTCTGTTTATCAAATATTAAACTATAAAATCCTTCTCCCCTAATTTCCTAATTTCCTAAATATGATTTAAATTAAATCCCTTCCCTTAGGGACATGCCAACCATGACACGAATGCATCGCCACTCCAGCTCCAGCGCCGTGGTGGAGGAATCACGTGGACGACGTCGTCCCGTTCCCGGTCTCCCGGGCGATGCCAACAAGGAGAACTTTGGGGTGCACTTTATGAGCAGTCCCTTTGGTAATGCCAGCCTGATTGCTCTCCAGGATCTGAGCAATGTCCATGGCAAGAGTCCGCAGCGTAGAAGCTTCAGCGAGGGCAGTGGTCCACGTCAGGCCACGCCCCAGCTGGCGGCACTTCGTTGCCTGCCACAACGATCCACCGCTCTCGAGGATTCACAATTGTCCTCCTCCCGCATGGGTGACACCACTTTAGATCGTATGTTGGATGCCATCATAGAATCGGCTAGAAAGGAAGTGCGTTGCAAGGTGGTCCCGGCTCCACCTCCACCCAGTTCCAATACTAACACGGCGGACAATGGAGTAGGCGATGAGTGGAGCGAGACCAGTGTCCATGAGATGGAGGTGCGCACACCCACGCACCTGAAGAGACAGCGAGTGGTGCGCCGCAAGAATCCACAAAAGACCACCGGGCCCAAGTTGATGGACAAGCAACTGGAGAAGCAGAAGCAGCTGGAGTTGGAGCAGCAACTGGAGCATGTGCCCAGCACTAAGCGTTGCCTGAGCTTCTCCTCCAGCTCTGGTTCGAATAACTCCAGCAACGAGGAGGAGGAAGACGAAGATGGGGAGCAGGAGGAGGATAACCAAGTGGAGCAGCAGTTGGCCAAGAGGAGTTCCCTAAGTGCCAGGAGCAGTAGCAGCCGTGGCAGTTCCACTTCCAGTTCTAGTTCTCGTGGAGCGGATGGTAACCACCGGGGAAGCATTGATCTGAGCATTGTCTATGACACCAAGGAGCAGCAATTGAATGTACATGGTGAGTTCCAATTTCATCAGCTTCACTCCCCTCTAATTATTGTAGGATTAACCCCTCGAGAGCTTGACCACTAATTGATTTACTTGTCTCGCTTCCTTTTCCCCCCTCGATTAGTGATTCGTTGCCGGGACTTGCAGCGTTCCCATGGCAGTGGCTGCATCAATGCCTATGTGAAGGTATCTCTCTCTGGCCATGGCCAAGGACACTCATCATCTTCGGGGGCAGCATGAACTCTGGCTATCAGCGCACAGCCGTTCATCGGCATTCGGGACGTCCTTTCTTTGATCAGAAATTCAGTTTTCCTATTACTGGACCTGGCACTGCTGATGGCGAGCATCTTCAGCTGGCTGTGTGGCATCGGGATCGCCATTTAAAGTGAGTACGAGTACGGTCGAAAGCCAAGAAAGCCCAAGAAACAGGAAAACAAAACAAGAAAATGTATAAGAAACAACCCCCCTTAACCATAAGCAGGGATACACTGGAAACTTTTAGGAATTAAAGAGGGAAAATAAGCTTAAAGTATAAATCATACATTTTGAATTAGGTTTTGGAAAGCCCAGAGGTTTTGAATCGGTCTAATTTAAGCTCAAAATTATGATATATAACTGGGGAATAATCTCCCAATTTTCCACTAGAAATCACTTGAATATTATTTGTAATATTTATACAATATTTTATATCATTATATAAAAAAACATACAACCCATTTCTTTGCCCCTGCCAAACCATCGTTCAACGTTCGAGTTGAAGTCCTGTGGCCATGTCATTCACCCCGAAACGTTTATCGAGGGAAGAAGCTCCTTGGGGCTCCTTTCGAGTGGCTTTCAGCAGGGGGGCTCTGGCTGCTTTGGATTTTGGAGCAGGCAAAAGACCAAAGCTGCCATAGCGTCTGGTTAATTGTGGCGCCCTTCCTGGCCTCGTGGCACCTCCAGTATCCTTTCTCTTCCTGCCTCTGAGTGTGTGTGTGTCTTGTGCATTTCCTGCACATAAACAAGCCACCCTTTTGTATCATTTCCACTACGCTTGCGCAGTTTTTAAACAAATTTCCAAGCGATACGCGCGACTTTCCCGGGCCCAGAGCCAAGCGCTTTTCCAGCTTTTTCCCCCAAAGAGAGAGCGAGAGTCCAATGCTCAGTTCCCGTTACTCAGTCCGAGTGGCAAGCTCGCGTGCGAAAAGCGACTGGCAACGCTCGAGAAAGAAAAGCGCAAGGAAATTGAAATCGGCAAAAAGTAGGTGCAATTTCTACTATATGCACTTGAGGTTATATATCTTTCTAAAGAGATACATATACCTTGAAGAGGAATTAATAACAAATATTTTTTTATATTAATTTTTGGTGTGTGTCCTTGCCAAAGGAGCAAAAGTATGCAACGGAAAACTTATATAACAGTGTGTGTGCGTGTGTGTGTGCATGGATGGAAAGAGTGTAGCATAATTTCGGGGGCATGCTGCCTAAACAAAATGCGAACAGGAAATGCCTGAAGGTCCTGCCTGCAAGAGTCTGCGTGTGCGTTTGTGTGTGTGAGGTGTTCTCTTCAAAAAATGTTAATTAAGCTTCAAGGACATCATTAGCTTCAACAAAAAAATAATAATAAAATGAAGACTTTGTGCCGGAAAACGTAAATTTAATGCCAAATCGATGTGGTTGATTATGCAATGCCCCCCAAAAAAAGAAACTTAAAACTCATACACGCACATCTCTGGCAGACACACACACGCAGCATTATCCTGGCGGCTAATTGAAGTGGCCAACTAACTAAATGTACGCCCGGGACTACAAAAAAAGGCCGGCCATAAACCTTAGGAGGCACCCCTACCTCCTACATTAAAGCCCATTTCCCCCATCATTTAAGCCAGCTTACCTCACGCACCACCTGCTTCTAGTTGCCATTTCCTTCCTCATTTCCCCATTTCCCATTTCCCATTTCCCCATTTCCCTATTCCCCCATTTGCCATGCATAATTCAAGACCATGCGAGTTGTGAAAATAGTTTTGGCAGCGTTTTAAGTCAATTTACAAAACGACAAAAGCCACTTAATAATTGATGAGGCCCTGTTTACAGGACCTTCTTGCCCCAAAAAAAAAGAGGAAGGAAAGGCCAGTGCACCTGACAGCTGCGATTGCAAATAAATACAAGTAAGAAATAAATAAATACAGAGAGTACAAGAGAGAGTACGAGTACGAGTGCGAGTGCGAGTCCTTTCCTTACTCCCGGAAAATCAATAAAAGTGACCCAAATACGCGCGCCAACTTCAGAACCAAGTGGCCAGTGGAAGAAGAGTGGCACAAGCCACTGTCATGCTGACACCACCACCAGCAACCTCTACAGAAGCCAGCAGGGGGTGGTTGTGGGTGACAGTGGGTGGTATATATATATATATATACATCCATTTACCGCCCAACAAATTGGCCGGGCAAAGCGCATTTCCGGGCCAAACACACAACGTCGACACATTTCCAGCTAAGGAATGTGGCAGCAGCTTAAAGCCGCTAATTGATTTATGTCACGTACAGGCCAAAAAAAAAATAAAGGAGGGGGAAAAACTAGCTGGAAAAGCTAGTGAAAAGCGGGTCAGGTGCTCGACTGGGATCAGCTGTAGGCAAACTATAAATAGACAAAGTCCATCAAACAACGTGCCAAAGACAAACCAAAACCTAAGACTAAATATCCAACACAAAAGGGTTGATATATCAATCATTTAAACAATCAATAGTTAGGATAAAGCCCTGGCATTATCAAATATTTAAAACTTTCCAGGGAAACCTCGAAAACTTTCGAAGGATAACTCAAAATCAATAGAGGGTGGGTTGTATACTTGTATCCTTTCTTTGAGTTATATAAAAATATGTGTAGTATACTTTACTTATGCATTTCCCATCTTCATCCCCGCAGACGCAGCGAGTTCCTGGGCTGCAGCACCTTTCCCCTAAGCGAGCTAGTGCATCCAGAAGCGGCAGCCTCCACCACCACCACCACGGCGGGATCCTACAAGTTGCTGGCCCAGCCATGTCCCCCGAACAACAATAATCACAATCACAATCGTCAGAGCCAAGCGAAAGTCACAGGTCAGGATCGTCCAAGAGCAGAGCAAGTACAGGAGCAGCAGGAGCTGAAGGAGCCGAAGGAGCAGCCGAAGGAATCCCTAGAGATGGCAACGGCTGCCGCAGTGGCAGTGACGCCACAAAAGACGGCCAATGGTTCGGGCGTGGGTGTGGGCATTGGAGCCACAACGACAACGTCACTACCTCTCAATGACGAGATCATTAGCATCAGTATCGATAGCATGGGACGAGAGGATCCCTTGATGCCACAACAGCCTCAGCAGCCGATGAGGCTCAGCAAGAAGGCACTCCATCAGCGGGATGCCGATGAGAATCTATTCCTGCGTTTCCTAGAGCTAGATCCGCCGGCAGATGGTAATGCAAATAGCACAACCAATGCCAGTTCGGGAGCGGGAACGGGAACGGGAACGGGAACGGGAGCAAGTGCCTCGTCAACGGCCAAGGCCAATGAGAGTAATGCCAATCATTTGAATGGAACCAGTGGGAGGCGTCAATCCACCATGCCCGGAGCAGGAGGAGGAGGAGCAGGTGGTAGCCATCGGCAAACGGGACGCACGCCCTTCACAATGACCAAACGGCTGACAAGGACCGAGGAGCGTGGCTTTGGCTTCTCCATTGTGTGGACACATCCACCGCGGGTGGAGAAGGTAGAGGCTGGCCTATCCGCCGACCGTTGCGGCATCCTGCCCGGCGACTATGTGATCTTCGTGGATAAGCACAATGTGGTCACGATGCCCGAGGCTGATGTTCTGAACTTGATACGATCGCAGGGCTCGGCCTTGACGTTGGAGATTTTCAGAAGGTCAGGCGCGGGCGCCACCACCATCATCACGAATCTGGGTGGCTCCAATGCGAATGTGAGTAGCAGTACCACCACCACCAGCAATACCCGCCATCAGATGCCAGGCAGTCTGGGCGTTGGAGTGGCTCTAGGATTGGGCAGTGAGGAGCATGTCACAACCACGACAGCCACGGGAACGGGAACGGGCACTGGCACTGGCACGGGCACAGCTATGATGAGCCTGCAGAGAACGGCCAGTTCCCGTATCCAAGGCTCTGGCCAGATGGGCAACAGTTTGAGTCGACCGGCCACCGCCTGCTCTGGGACAACCTCATCGATTGAGGCGGCCAAGAGGAGGTTACACCTGCCACAGGTCACCTTTAGCAAGGAGGTAGGCAAGGGTGTCATCGTCTAGGACACTGACTCACCTCATCTACGGTCATCCTACATACTACATATTCTTTTTTTTGTCGTATTTGTATTTATACATTTTTTTTTGTATTTTTTGTGTCTGTCATGTGTACATATTGTCCCCATAATTGCCCTTTAATTCGTTAAGTTTTATTATTAGCTTAATATTAATTTCCTTTTTTTTTAATAAATTTATAAATATATATTGTGCCTAGCCCTTAGTTCTTTTGAGAACCCATTGAACCCGCTTGACAATAAACTTTTTTTCGATTTCATGTGTCTGAGTTTTGATTTCTTTGATTGGTTTATACATTGAAATGATAAGGATTGGATAATGTCTCTAAAAAAACATAACAAATATATGACATTACAAGAAACCTATATATGACACCTATTATATATAATGTATATATAGGACTTGATATCTTGAGATCTTCTGTTCCTTGTTTTTTCATCACATCACCTATGAAAAAGCTTTTTACCTCATAGATCATAACCCTGAAGACGTTTTCATTCTGTATACTTATATCCTATATTACAATTTCCCTCTAGAATAAATCCTTTTTTAAGACCTTTTCTTATCCTCATTGTAAACCAATAAGCCTTAACCCCTTGACTCCTTAATTTTTCAATTAAAACTAACCTAAATCCCTGTTCTTTAACATTTCTACTTTAACCACTCCCATTAGTCCATTGTGCCCATTACGGATAACCGGCGTCGCTTTCTCCTTCAACTAATTAGTCGCGAGCAAAACTTTACGGCAGCCCTGCACTTTGGAGTACAACGATTCGTGCAGCCTTTGCTGGAACGAAAGGATCTAATCTCCCCGAATGACCACCGCACCCTGTTCCAAAACATTGACGAACTGCTACGCATCGCTGAGGATATCCTTGAGCAGCTGTGTAGCAGCCAGGATCAGCAGCATCAGCATCAATCGGATCAGGAGCCTCACATGAACTTCGCCTCGCGGGTATATCTCTCAAAGACGACAGCGATTTGTGCGGCATACAAGAAGTATTGCAATGGAATCAAGCGGGCGGACTGTGTCCTGGTCAACAAATCACGGCAGACGGGCTCCGAGTTCATTGCCTTCATCACAGAACCGGCTGTGCCGCGCAAGCGTCCCGATCTCACCATGTTCATCCATCGGCCACTGCAGCATTTCCGGGAGATCCTTAAATTGATGCAGTTGCTCGCTGGCAATTGTCATGTGGATACCGAGGAGCACAAGAACTTTAGTACGGTGATAGCTGAACTGCAGGCAGCGTATCGTGAGATCACTGTGAGCAGTGGCCTTATGGAGCCTTTGGGCGAGGGACGACCACTGCTCACGCTTCAGGACCTGGAGTCAAGGATGGTGTTCACCAAGTGTAAACCTTTCACCCTGGCCGTCCAGGGTCGTCAGTGGATATTTGGCGGGGATTTGTCCCGCGTTGAGGGGCGATCCGTGAAACCCTACTGGACGCTGCTTTTCAGTGACATTATTGTCTTTGCAAAGGTTAGCCGGGATCGAGTGCTGTTCATCACCGAGGAGCCTATACCCATAGCCAATGTTGTGGACTCCTGCTTTCACATGCGCAAGAAGAGTGAGTGCCATAACTATTGATCTTTGAACCTAAAGATAATTCTAATCCCTAATTACAGCCACCGAATTCCGTCTAACTGTGGATCCCAATGGACGTTTGGCCGAGAGTCCTACGGGTTACTGTGCCCCCGATCTCACCCGAACGCCTAAGAGAGGAGCCCGCCGCAAGAGTCTCATCCTGCGAGCGCCCTCCCTGGAACTCAAAGCCGTCTGGCAGAATCTCCTCCAGCGACAGATGTAGGTTTCGATTCAGCTTCAACGTGAACTAAAACTAAACCTTAAACTCTCTCGCAGATTCCTGGTTAATGCCGCCTTGGGTTCGACCCCTTTGTCCAGTCCATTGGACTCGCCGGATGTCCTTAATACTCTGGTGCCGCTGAGCGATATTGGACTGACCTCCGCCTCGATGGGCTCCATGAAGCTACCATCGCTGGACAGCATCCATTTGAAGCAGCAGCAGAAACAGCAGGTGCGTCTCTTTCGCAGCAAGCGTCTGGACAGCGCCGATTCCTATGAGAATCTACAGCGCCTGGCCAGTGCAGTGCGTCATCATTGCGCCAGTGCCAGCACCACCACGAGCAGCGCCACCCAGACCCAGTCCCAGTCCCAGTCTCAGTCGCAGGCCCAGACCTTGTCCCAATCTCAGACCCTGTCGCAGACCTTGTCCCAGTCTCGTACTCTGTCGCAATCGCAGACCCTGTCCCAGGTTCAGGCACCGCAGAGCAATAGTTCGCCGGCAAGGAATGGTTCGGTGATCAATGGTCTGGGCATCGGCTCCTCCTCCTGCCTGAGCAGCAGTGGTGGTAGCCTAGTCCAAGTGCATACCCAAACCCTAACCCAGTCGCAGACGCATTCGCAAACCCAAACCTCGGTGCTGTCCTCTCTGTCGCTGACCAACTGCAAGTGCCTCACGGTTATACCGGAGGTGAGCACTGAACAGACGCCGATGCTACCACCTTCAAGGCCTCATCCCTCCAAGAAACTGCTAGAATTTAGTCTTAGCTCCGTGGGCAGATCCTTTATCGATGAGTCTAGTGCGAGCATGGCAGGTAATCCGATGGGTCAGGTTTCACTGACCACACCGGAGACACCCACACCGAATATTTCGCCCAGCTCACAGCCCTGCAATTCGGATGCCTTTTCCAATGACTTTGTGCCGCCTCCAGCGACGGCATCGGATCGACCACCCGGTATTCCCTTGGCCGAGTTCGGTGGCTCTTGGGATCTTCTGGAGCTGGATCTTCAGCTGCATGAGGTTAATCTTGATCCCTGCTATGACACTGATGTTGAGGAGTGTATATTTTTGGGTGACGATGCCGATGGGGTTTGTGACCAAGACGATGACGATGATGATGATGAAGATGAGGAGGAGGAGGACAGTGTGGTGGTGGATGATCCCTTTGGCATGTTGCCCACTAAGCCAACGCCACCGGATTCCCTGGATCTGTGATTTGACTTTTGGCTGCAGTCAGAACCCAATCTTAAGAACCATCCAAGTCCCAACACCGATAACGATAACGATACCGACACCGATACCTTGCCGCACAATCTTTGAACCCTTGAACGAGCTTAGACAACTATGTAACCACCACTGAATCTTTGGATAAACTCCACACCTCCCACTTATACACTCTCCCTCTCTCTTAATATAAAGATATATCTTTCTATATATATCTCTCTCTTTATATATCCCTCTCTATCCTGCTCCATTGGCGAGGCTCCCTCTGCTCTGCTTTTGCTCCGCCAGCTTCGCTCAGTGTATCAGCGGCAGTTTCTCTGGAAGATTGGGTAATGACTTTGCCAGGATATCAGTAAGGAGATCAGATCAATTAAAGGATCTTAAATAAAACTCCTTAGAAGATCAGTAAGGAGATCTCTCAGAAGATTAGAAGGGGTATCCTTTGGAGGATGAGTGGGGGGATCTCTCAATTGATCAGTAAAGGGCTTACTCAGAGGATCATTAAGGGATTCCTATAGATCACTAAGTATCTCCTTAATAGACCAGAGTGATCTTTGAGAGAATTCCCAAGAGAATCAATAACAGAATCAGAATTGAAATCAAAAGCAAAATGCATTCATTGGACTTTCAGAAATACCTATAAAAATTCCCCATTTTCGAAGGGGTCTTTTTTTGGTCCAGTGTATGTGTCCAATGATATTTGCGAGTGAAAAGTGACAATTATCCGTGGGAATTGTACATAGAACTACACCATCTCTCTCTCCCCCCTCTCCCTCTCTATGTGTGTGTGTGTTGTATTGTATATACCTATAAATATATATATACATATAATATAAATGCTCATAAATCCCCTGAGAGCACCCGCATATGATCCATCCAATTTGATTCAGAATCGAGTGTACATAAAAGGTTGGACAAGAGAGAGGTGATGGATGATGAAGTTGAAGAAATAGAGAAGCAGAGATACATTGTACTAATACTTGGCTCTCTTTAGTCATATATATTTACATAGTATACATAGTATACACACCCTAGATATTATAGCCATAATTATGTATATTAGCTAGTCAAAATATACATTGTTTTACAAGAGTTTTTAGCTTTTAGATACATATAGTATATATAGAATATTACCCAAACAACACTCTTTCTCCTCTTGCTCGCTCTCTCCGATTCGTAAAATATTTAAAGCTCGATTCGATATTATTAACCAAAGTTTTGATTGCCAAGAAGGAAACCCAAAGAACTAAGAGAGGAAAAAACAATAGGAGTTATACTATAATGTTAATAATGCTTCCATTTTGTAGCCAAAAGAAAATTTTAGAACCTATTATTGGATCACTGTTAAAGCCATTGTTATTCCCACATTAGCCTAGTCCTAGTTTCTATTATTGGATCGTATGCTAAGTTGTTTAAATTAGCCAAAAGTTAACCTTTGACAAAATTATTAACTAATTAAGTTAGACTGTTGATTGGCCAAACAAAAAAAAAGAAAGAAAACCTGAAAAAACCCAGTTGTATATAGACACAAAGACATTCCTTTGAATATTTACCTAGAGTATTCGTATTCGTATCCGTATTTGTATCTATATTTGTATCTGTATCTGTACCACCATGTTGTGTGTGCGTGTGTGTAAGTCTTGGCTGGTTGTGCTTTCCCACACTTGCTACTTTCCATGTATCTGAGCCGACTATAGTCGATATATATCTATATAGTCGATAGCTATCGATGTCAATTATCTGTGGCAAGCACACTTTGTTGCCTTTGCGTATATATAACTTCAAGCTAATCACAAGTATCTAAGTATCTAAATATCTGTATCTCTATTTAAAAATAGAGGAAGAGCACTCTAATGCTATTTGCACAGTGGTGAGAAATTAAATTAAAGACTTACCCAGTAGAGATTCATATTCATCTAGTTTTTGTCCTGAAAATATATAGATTTTTGTAGTATTTGTTAAAGAGTTTATATATACCTTATATATTCTAGAGTTATATTTTTTAAGCCCCTTTTTTAACTTTTTCTGACCACTGTGCTTGTACAATTTTGGTGCCAGAGCTAGAGCTGTCAAAAAATTCAATATTTTTCGATTTTAAATCGATAATATCCAGCTCTAGCTTGGAGCCTGCCAGCCAAGGGTTTTTGTAGATTCACACACTCTTTCCACTAGCACACACACTCTCCCTACACACACACACACACACTCTCCCCTCTATGCTCTTAATTGTTGAATATCAAGCATACGCCGTGTTGTCTTTTATGCTCCGGTTTTTTCGTGTGTGCCTTGAGCAGTAAACAACAACAACAACAAACGAAAAGATTTCTATACACACTCTTATATATATATATATGTATATGTTTAGAAGCAGATTTATAAACATATATATTTCTATATATTATACATACTATTTAGATTCATATTCTCATATTCTGTAAACTTTGATGTACGTCTAGAAAGGTTTTTGCGATTTATTTACATTTAACACGAAATGAGGAACGAGATATACACATCTATATATATGTATATAAAAAACATATATATATCTTGATATCTTGAGTCCATTTGAGATTGAGATTGCGAAGAGAAACGATGAATTAAAAGAAAAAAACAAAATAATAACAATAAAAAACCAAAATGATTCTTTGACTAAAAACGCTTGTGATGTTCTTTTTATTTCACTTAAAAACAAAAATAATAATAAAAGAAAAACACAAAGGAATAAAACAGGGGAATGGAAATAAAAGAAAACCCACCGAGCACGCTCCGCTTCCTGAATTGTAAACCACAAAAAATATATAAACAAAATATATATATTAAAAATATATATCTTATAGATATATAAAAACAAAACCAAAATTGATAAATTAAAAATTGTGATGGACTCAATTTTAGTTTTAAGTTCGAATTGCTTCTTCCTGTTCTCAAAACTGATTTCAAATTTCCATTGCTTCTTAGATGTTTTTGTTGTGACTTGTACCCAACCTGTACACACACCTTGTATTATCCCCACGATCCTGTATTATTCTTGTTAACCCGCTTATATATACCCATCTTGAACCTGTTGTTAACCGATAACTAACTCCATTCAGAGCCAGAGATCAAGCGTTTTTAATCAAAGATGGATCGCGATTATTATTGTTTCCGTTCCGTTTCTCCGCTTCGCAAATCAAAATAAAATATAAGAAAGTTCTAAACAAAAAGGGGGAAAGAGAGTTCTTAATGTAAAGAGAAAAGAAAGAAAGTCAAAGACAAATCCCTAACAAAGTTCAAGCAAAAGCAAAAAGCAAAAAGCAGCTAGCAAAAGCAGCTTTCAAAAGCAGAAAGCAGAAAGCCTTAAGCTAGAGAGAGCCCATCACAAATTTTAATTTGCCAAACCTTAGTGGGTCTAGTGCTGATGGTGGTGGTGGGTCCAGAGATCCAGGTAATGTATATGATTCACATCCACACCTCCTCACAATCTTCCAGCAGCGCGGATTGAACTCCTCGCATGCCGTCCTAGGAGGAGGAATCGGTGGTGTCACCACCGATCGTTCCCACTCCCATAGCAACAATGGTGCCGGCACTGGTGGTGGCCATGTGGAGCAGATCGAGCTACTGATCGATGAGAAATGCCGGATCCTCAACAAGACGGGAACTCCCAAATCCAGTGCCTTGCATTTGGCCAACTGGATGAAGGGTCAGCTGGATAAGCAGCAGCAACAGGCTCGCCTGGCAGCCATTGCCAGATCCCAGGAGAATGTAAGTGCCGAGGATGAGCAACTGATTTTCAATAGCGACAGCGAGCAGGATGAAAGGATCACATACTGGACACGTCAGCAGCTGGAGAAACGCACCAAGGAACTCAATTTGGCTAAAGAGAATGGTGGATTATCGGCCAAGCCAAATTTTGGAGGCAAACGACTGAGCGGCGTGGAGGAGCTGAGTATGAGTGCCACCTCGGATATATACTCCACCTCCGATGCAGAGGCGGTGACCAGTGTGATAAGTCAATCGCATAGCACCACCTCGGATAGTCAGGTGAGATTTGAAACAAAACCTTTCACCAGTATCTCTTCATTCATTTTATCCCCACCTGCTTAACTTATTGCTAAACCTGCTCTTTGTCTCTCTCTCTTCTTAATCCTTAAAACCCACCTACCTTCCCCGTATGATTAGATCACCGTAAGATCCAGTCCCATTGTGCTGGACAAGCTGGCCGTGTGCCGGCATTGCCACAAGAATTGCCAACAGAGCGGTCCCGGCGGCAGCAATCGGTCAGCCGGTGCCGCTGCCGCCACTTCCGGTTCCGGTTCGAATCCTGTCCTGCTTTGCAACTCCCTAAAGGTGCAACATAGCCAATCCTCGCCCAATCGCTGTTGCAAACTCAATGGCATCTCCTCGGATACCCTGGCCATGGAGCTGGGTCTGGGTATGGGCACAAGGACAGGCACCACCACCACCTCCGCAGGCACACGAACCGGAACACGAACTGGTGGCGGTGGCGGCAGCGAGACCAGCATGTCCAGCAGCACCACCAACACCACCATCACTGGGGAGTTATCCTCCAAACGGGTGGCCAGCAGCAGTACACGCCGGGAGACCGGCGACACCGAAAGCGATGTGGCTCAACTGATCACCGATGAACTGTCCCTGTCCCAATCAGAGGCCACCGATGACAGCGTCGGGGCGATGCCCAATAGCAGCAGCTTCAGTGCCGGCGAAGGGATCAGCTCCAAGCTACGTCATCTAGATCAGACATCAGCTCCAGCTACAGTTCCTGCACCCTCTGCCTCCCTGCCCAATGGCCATTGCTCCAAATCCAACTCCAATTCGGTGTCTGGCTCCCCAAAGCCATTGCCTCCTCCACGGCGTACTCGCATCGTGGCCCAGTTGTGTCAGGAGCCAAGCAGACCCAAGGCCAACCAGCAGGTCAAGGCCATTGTGACCATCACAGAGACGGCAAGGATTATGAGAAGTGTGGAAAGAAGTCCCTCAAAATCTGTGGGCGCTGGAGGAGGATCACCCGCCAAGTATGCTGCCTGCCATTGCCGTTGCCAACCGGAGGACTTTACCCATGCCCAACTTTCCCCCGACAAGATGGAGCACCAGACTTGCAAGTTGTTGGAATCACCAAAGCAAACCACCAGCACAAGCACCATCGAGCAACAGAAGCAGGAGGATGAGCAACTGTCCCTGATGCTCATAGGCTTGGCACAGTTTGCTCCAGCGGCTAGGTTGTGCGGTGGAGGAGGAGGAGGAGGTGGAGCACAGCAAGGACATAAGGTAAACCAACGAGAGGAGGATAATGCCACACCCACGATAGCCGTAGTGCCGCCCACACCAGATGCTGTGCTCACCAAGACCAGCACTCATGTGTGGGATAATAGTGGTTGCTCCTCCTCAAATGGAGGAGGAGGAGGAGGAGCAGGGAACTCAACCACCACCACCACTAGCACGGCCACCACAACCACCAAGCAACCCAGGCAGGCCACCATTGAAAATATACCCGAAGATTCCTGCGATGAATCCCCGCTAGACGAAGAGCCACCATACCGACCCATGAGCAGTGCCCTCCGACGTTTTGGTACCATGTCCAGTCTGGAGAAGCTACCCTCCGATGATCGCATGGATGAGGCCGATGAGCTGGATGATGACCTAGAAGAGCCCACCTCCTACACACCCAATGGTCACGATGAGGATGGGGATGAGGACGATGGAGATGGAGATGATGAAGAGGTGGGCTCGGATAAGGCCTTGGCACAGAACCTCATTGAACCATCCACCTCGGCAACGGGCATTCACTTGGCCAATGGCGATGTCCTGGCCAGTGGAGCCTGGACGAATCGTGCCGGGGCCTATGTCACAGACAAAATGTCCTTTTTCGAGGAATCGCGAGCGTTTATAGACAAGTATTTGGGTCGCTGGAATGCAGGAGATGCCCAGCAGCAGCAGCAGCAGGGAGGAGGAACTGCCTCCGAAACGGATGAGCAAATGGATGAGTGCACTTCGGGAGCCACAAGCGGGGAAGAAGTATGGGGTACACCCACCAGTGGCGGGGATAATGATGATCAGGATTTGCAGTTAATTAACTCGGAAAATACGCATTCGGTGAGTGGAAAGATGTGATTTAAAGGATCTTTATCTAACTATAATGATATATAGTCACCCACCAAGTCGAGCACTTCGCTCAATGATGACGATGACACTGAGTTGATGATGGATGAGCTGCTGATGGCCCCGCCCATGACAGCGAGCACTATACGAGGACTTTTGCCACGGTATGTAGATCCTTTTTTGGGGAGTCTCCCTCTCCCCACCCCCCCAAACCACCTTAAGAAAGCTCACCTGAAAAACTCAAACTCACACTCACAGACACACACAGCCGGTAGTTGAGATAAAACCCTAGATTAGAATCTATGAAAATCCAGCTGCGAATATATATACATATATATATATATAATATATATATGTATACTACATCTATCATATAAATATATAGTCTAGTATATAGTTATATACCGTAATAGTGTTTTTAATAAGACCAAATGAATTCTCTGTTTTTTTTTCGTGTACTCCTTTGGTAACTTTCTTTCGTAGCTTTTACAGGTGTTTATCTACCTTTTTGTTTCCATTTACACACTCAAACAAACCACTAAACATATCCCTAATTCGATTCGAATCAGCTTCATCCTTCTATATCTTGATCTCTCTCTCAATATATACATATATATAGCCTTTGTATTATCTAGAATTTTGCTCACTCATACGCAGGCTATAGTCATAGTCATAGTCATATAGTCAGGCTAGGGTAGCGTAGCCCTCTCTCTTATGTATATCTATATAGTCATAATGTATCGGAATCGAGATCTATATCATTTATGTCATCTATATACACACACATCGAACCAATCAACACACATACATCGATCGACTGTTGCTAAATTCCAATTGAAATTCGTTTGCATACGCCACACACACGTATTATCGTAACGTATATACCGTATATCGTATATCGTATATCGCATCCGTAAAACGTATCCGATCCAACATAGACGTCGCCTTGAGCCCCTGTTCGAGGAAGAGACGGAGAGCGACGAAGAGAAGACGCAGCAGGATAGCGACGACGTCAAAAAGGTGGGTCGTTATTACAGCAAAATCCCAAGACACGTCCCAAAATATTTAACTTAACCAACAAAATACTATCAAATATCAATAACTACTTTAAAATTTATAATAATATAAAAATATATATTAGAAAAAGTACCAAAATAATATATAAAATATACAAGAAAAAGTATCAAAGTAATATATAAAATATATAATAAAATATTTAAAATATGACAATTTCTTCACAAAATCCAATTTTAAAATACTCTTAACTAAGCCAAAATAGCATTAATTTTAACTCGGAGAGCTGTCCTATGTTTCTTTTTCTTAGGCAAACAAATTTGCTTACTCAATTTAAAACTTTAAAAAATTAAAATTTTATCAAATTTTTTTGACAATTTTAATGATATAACCCCATAAAAAATTTTACAAAAAAAATTTAAAATTTATTTTTCTTCCTGAGGTGGCTAGATCGATTCGGCTGTTGATGCTGATCAATAATATATATGATTTATAGGGTCGAAAATGACTCCTTCACAGCGTTTTAAGCTTCTGATTAAAATAAGAATACCCTAAAAGAGTATAAGAATTACTACAAAAACATCTTTAAAATATTTGAAAGGAATACATTAACAAAAATAAAAAACTAATAACATATGTATGTACAAAAAATCTAACATATGTACATAATAAAATATAAAAAACTTTGAAATTAATAAAACCGTGTCGCGTTTCGTTTCCGTTTCCGTTTCGTTTTCGCATTCTGCTGCATGGCAAAAACAGTGTCAACTGTACCTGAGCACCAGCCAGAAAGAGAGAGAAAGAGAGAGTGAGAACGCCTAAGGGGACCAGGTTCGAACTCTAGATCTAGATCTGGCTCCTATGCCCCTCAGGCGGCACTCTCTCCTCTGATCTGTGGCCTATATAAGCAACCCCACCTAGCACACTTGCATGTAGCTTAGCCTCAACTCAATGAACTAACCCAAGAACCTTGGTTTGTCTTTCTCTATTTTGTCTATACTTTCATAAACCATCATCGACTGCAACTCGCTCATCACCATCTCTCTCCATCTTCATCGCTCAAAATCACCATCAAACAATCAATCAATCACGCTCTAACATGTTTTGACTTTGTATGTAAACTGTACTTCCGTTTTGCCTGTCTATTTTTGTATATCTGTATTAATGTTGCTTACAAAATCACAAACAAATAATGTATCTTGGGTAGAAGGTCGTAGTGAAATTAGTGAAGCTTTAGCCCATCCTGCAATATTGCGAGCTCATCACCATCACGAACACACGAACGGGTCCGGACAAGGACAAGGACAAGGACGACGCCGATTGACAACGACGACAATCAATCCGATCCTGCTGTCGAAATTCCGTACTGTAAACGAAACACCGAACTCCATCACCATCACCATTCGCCACAATACACCAAACTCATCCGACCATTTACGACCTTCCTATTCACCTTCATCCCCGGGGGCGGCGCCAATTGCCAGCAGGAAGCTCTATCCCAACCAGAATTGATTAGTTGAATTCTATTCCCAACAATTGGTAGGGGGAAGCAACGACCAATGGCCACTACCTAGAGGATTCGGCTGGAAGTTCAGACGACAGCGAGGCAGCTGCAGTCCCCCAACCACAGTCACTAGTTCCAACAGCGGTGGTGCCGGATCGGGAGGAGGATCCATCGGAGTTGGAGCTGGAGCAGCAGCAGGAGGAGCAGGAATCGGACTCGGACTTGAGACAGGTTGTGAAAGCGGAGAAGGAAAAGCAGGAGGAGAAGATGGTGGAGCACCGGCATACGAATGTAATGATGGGGCCACGGCCATTGGTAACCACACGATTGCTACCCACCACGGCCATCGTATCGGAAGTGGGGCCATTGGTGGCCTCATCCTGCGAGTATCTGCTCGATCAGCGCCCCTCGAGCGGATCGAGCGGGTCACCAGGACGAGATCGAGTCGCCGGCAGCAATACGAGCAGCACGATGCCATTGCCACCTACTCGGGTGATGCCAGTAGCGATGACTATCAATACAGGGACAGGGATCGAGATGGGGATGACATCGAGGACAACGACGACGACGACAGCGATGACAACGACGACTATGGTGACGACGACGATGACGACGACGTCGATGACGATGGCGAATCGAGCTCCCTCATCGATTATTACAACAATCAGCAGCGGGAACGTCACTACCAACTCCGGAGGCAGAGCCAGCGGCAAGCCGCCGAGATTTGTTCCACCGCCGCCGCCACCACGTCGCTTGCTGCTCACCCAGACCGATCTAAGCGCTGCTCCGGTCAAAACGGTGAGTATTCCTCTACCTCCTAGAAGCTATCAGAGATCTTAGTTTTATCCTTAATCCCTCTTTTAGGAGCCACCTCAAAGAAAATCTGGCGCTACTGCTGACAGTGGCTCCTCGGCGGCTGTCGGCGTCGCCGCCAGCGCTTTGGGCCCAATCGGTATCGAGTCAAGGATAATGCCAGCATCGGCACCGAATACCATCAACTCCAAGCGAGTACCGTCCTCAACGATAATCGAGACCTGCCTGCTGGGGGCACCCAGGCCCGCCTCAGTCACTTCATTAGCAACAGTCTCGAAGATGGCAAAACCGATTCCCACAGTCGAATCCCAGCGGGAGAGGAAGTCTCGGGAGGAAGAGGTGCCGGTGGAGCAGGTGGAGCAGGAGGAGCAGAGCCAGAACCCAGTTGCAGCGGAGCAAGACGCAACCGGTCCACATTCGGTGGCCGGTGTCCAAACGCCCCACGCTGGCTGCGGCCTAAGTCCAAGGCTGGAAATGCGACTGGCCCTCAATCACGACATCCTAGGGGACGAGGACTTGATTTGCTACGAGCCTGGTCCCGATCTAACAACTATTCTGGGGTGAGCTATAGGATATATCAATATAGTTATTAATTCATATAATACCCAATTAATTAATAAATGACTGAATGCATTTCAGGCACGACCTCTCCACATTTCATCGTCTGACGGGTCGCGATTTATTGAGTCGTTCAGCCACGAACCGAGTGCAGCCAAAAGAGGCTGTCATATCGTACTCTCAACATCGCAACTCAAAGATGGACACACCGACGGTGAACCGACGACCCCGACCCCTTTCAGCGGGCGCGGCCTTGAGTCACAGTCACAGTCGCAGCAGTCACAGCAATACCAACAGCAGCAGTCACGGCAGTCCACTCGCCGCTGGTGGATCAATCCGTGCCGGAGAAGATCTGGCACAACAACGGCATCCGCATCAGCCGGGACATCCGGCGGGTTGGAGCGTTGGTGGATCTGCGGCTCGAGCCGGAGGCAACGGGAACGGAAGCGGAGGCGACGTGAGCATCGGCTCCAAATCCAACAGAGACGGGAGCAAATTAGGAGATCTGGAAATCTTAGCGAGACGCGAGAAGATATACTCCATGTCTCAATCGAGGAGTGGCTGTCGAGTCAGGGAGACATCCACAATGTCCACGACTCTGGTGGCGATGGCTTCGGAGATGCGTACGGAGATGGAGGCGATGGCGACACCGATGGCGGATTCAACGAGACGCGACTCTTCCTGGCCGACCCGAGCAGCTGCAGCAGCCTCTCTGACGAGGACGAGGAGTACTACTTCGATGGACGGAGCGGGAGCCATCACTACAACCACAACAATGACTGAGGCATTCCTTGAGACCGATATAGGCAGATCCAAGCGATTGTAAGTTGTAGAGAAAGTATATATTTGTGATCCTGACTATGATCCTGCCTTCAGAATAAACTTCATTAAGCGTCGCAACTCTGAGATAACCGCCAGTAGCACCACCAGCAGCAGCACTCCCAACTTCTCCGACGGCACCGTCCAGCTCGTCGATCAGCAGCCTCAACCGAGCCACAGCCAGAGTAGCCTAATGCTCCAGAAGCTGCCGTCCTCGTCGGGCCAGGACTCGGCGGCAGAGATGGCCCAGATGTCGCCACGAAAGGATAACGTAAGTTAGACTCACGTAAAGTGGGTATATCAAGAGGAAAAGTACGATTTAATATCGATAAAGACATTGAGCATGATCTCGATAGCTTAAATTTTGATACACATATATCGAAATATCAAAGACAAAGATGTTTTGTTTACATTACTGATAGATAGATAGATAGATAGATTTTCCAACATCCCTAATATCTTTGTATCTTCTTTTCCAGGACAAGCCATCATTGAACCGCCGCCTGTGGAAGCAGATCACCAAACGCCGACGCACCAATTCCGTGTCCCAGATAGTCGCAGGCTAGGGGAATCCCCGGAAGAAGCACTCACTCAAGCAACACCCACTTCCCTCCTCCCTGGAAGCACATTCGTCCAACCCTCACACACTTAACATAATGTGTTCTAGAAGGGGTTGAATTTTAATTAAGAAAAGTAAAGCCCTCAAACAGATTTGGATCAGTGATGATGGGCCATGAACGATAAGGATAACGAGTAACGGGATATTTGCACAGGGACAGGCAAATCGATAGAGACATCTATCTATCGATGGTGCATATCGAAGAAGGAATCGGAAGACAACACTTAGTAGTATATTAAGGTTTTTTGATACGACTTTGTAGCTAGCGAATCCCCCGGATCGCAACGATCACGGGCAGCTCTAGGCGTCCAAATTGCGTCCAAACAACAACAACAAGAAAACGATAGATCGACAAATCGATGTGAATCGATAAAGATATCGAATCGATACTCCTGCCAAGGAAGCAAAGAAACGAGCCAGTCCCAGCCAAATATGAAACAGACAACGAATGGCAATTACTTAATTGGCAGAGAGAGAAAGAGGAGGCATCCACACACACAACACACACTTGACACAACAACAAGTAAAACCAAGCACTCGGAATCCAAATCCAGCCAAAATAATGACTTAGGACTTAGGGGGCGTTCCGTACACACTGACTACATATATTTTTTAAAAAACGAGACAAAGTCCGGCATTCGTTATTACATGTATGTCTTGTAGCTTTTAGCCATTTCGGGTTTTTGTTGCGCGGGATTAACAGTGTGAAATTGCCTTACGTATTCAATGAACTATTGTATGGGTAGCTTAACGTAGTTGTCTTTATACATAACATTTACTACTACAACATTTACACTAACATTTACATTTACATTAACATTAACATTAACAATTAAAATTAACGGCCACAGCCTCAGAGCAGTTAGTAGTAGAGTCAAAGTTAGAGCTAGAGTCAAAGTTGGAGTCAGAGTCTGTTGTCGGTAGTCGTATAACAATTTTAAGTATTTAAATTCCACGTTTTTTCTCAACTATTTACAAGCGAAACTTTTTGCATCAGTTAGATCTTATATATACATCAAATATATATACATATTTATATATATGTGTATATATATAGGAAATCTTGGTAGTTCATTTCACATTGAAATTGTAATTGAAATTGAAATCGAGAAAACACAAGCAACACACAAAAATTTGTTTGTTTTGAAGCTAATAAAAAATTATACGAATTAATAACAAACGATCAAGTACATTTATCAGCTTTAATAGAAAATCTAATATATGTATATATATATATATAAAAATATATATACATGGATCTAAATAGTTCTAGTTGTAGTTATATAATTGACATATACGAATTACTTTTGAATAGTGATCGCCGATCGGGGTTATTAGGCATTTAACACTCACATTCACACACTCACGAGCCAATCGTTGCGTCTCTAGGCACCGTTTACAACCACGTGAGAGAGATTGATACCCTGTAAACTCCCAGAGTCCATTAATTTGCTCTCTCTTAATATTTTTTTGTCTTGGGGTATTTTTAGCAGAGTAGTACGAGTACGTATGAATTTTCCTCTTGAAATTCAATAAGAAATTCAATTATATAAAGAAGAAATTCCACAGAAAAGCATCCAAATAAATTCAATATACAAAATAAATCAAAACGAAAGTTAAAAAAAAACGAGTGTTTAAAAATTTTTTAAAGAAGGGGGTGGTATTCTTATACATTGGTTAATGGAATTTAAAGAAAAAACCTTTTCAGTCACTGGTCAAAGCTTTTAATACCCTTTTGTTTACAATATTGTAAAGAATATGATGCGGATATGTATATTTGATTTCATATTTCGCGTTACACAGCTTATTTTTGTATAGTATCTTTTGGATATAGAATAGTAGATAATTGTTTACATTTTAGTTTTATAAAAAAAATCAATCCTTTTAAAAATCTTTTATATTTCTACTTTAAAAATATATGATCAAAAACTTGAAACGATTTTGTAGCTTAAATAACAATTAATTATTATTAGAATCTTTAGGATTTACTTGGTTTAAATTTTGATTTCCTAGACTTTCAACTAGTTTTATTTTACCAATTGATAAAATGTTAATTATAATAAATATATTGAATAGATATCTTTCCAATTAACCTGGTTCCGGTTCCCTGATAAAACTAGATACTATTTCTTGTAGCACCATTTCCGATTACAATATCTGCTATACCCTTTCTCCAGGAAGAGTACTCTTACAACCCGAATGTTGGTCAAATTAATTGTAAATTCCCCCTAGAACTGGGTTGGGCCAAACCCGAGTGCGTGCGTTCTCCCCAAAATTATAAAAAACCTCCAGCCGAGGAGGCCGAGAGAGAGGGTGGGCCAGGTGGCCTTTGGATCTAAGCTCAAGAGAGGATTGAGAGAGAGAGGGAGAATCGCTTGCCTGGCAGTCAGCTGTTGCAACACTTTCGGCTCAGCGGCTTTCAGCTTTTCAGCTGACAAACTGAGCCCGCTCTCATTCGAGAAACAAGTTTCGTGTCGAACGGACGCCACGCTGCGTCGTCACTCTCTCTCGCGCGTAGAAGAAACTGAAGCTGGAGCCGAGGCTGGGAAGAAACTGGGGGAAGAATTCGCCAAGGCTTTTGTTTATATTTATTTATTTTTTTTGCATACGTTACATGCCTTCTTCTTTTAATTGGCGACGCGAGTGTAAGTGCCAGTCGAGTGTGTTTGTGTCTTCGGTTTGATCTAGTTTATTATTTTTTTTTATATCAAATTTAATTTATATTTTTTTGAAAGTGAAAAAATATATATAAAAAAAGTAAAGAAAATTACTCAAAAGAGAGTGCATGTGTGGCTGTTGCGGCTGTTAACCTGGCCACAGGCATTATGGACCGATGCATGTGAACTGACAGGAAATAAAGAGAGCGCGCCATTAAGCCATCATTGTCGACGTTAGAACAAACCATGGACAGAGCAGCGGCCCAAACAGATTCGCTAATTGAGGTCGTTGTCTAGGTAAGTTGTCAGTTTCATCTCCATCTCTCTCTTTTGGCCCTTGCCGCTTCCGTTTGCATCTTAAAATTCACTTAGTTGCCACTGCAACACCATCAAACCACCAGTGATCTCCTCTCCCATCTCCGATCTCCGATCTATGCGATAAAGCCACAAAGCTAGTGCTCCAAAACGGTAAATTATGCCGGTGTGCTTGGGGGCAAGAAACTCGCCGCGACTGCAAAAATTCACACGTTGCACAGTGGGGCAAAGGATATGGAAAATATAATACAAATTGGCTCCAACGAAGGAAAAGGATGGTGCAAATTTCACATTCCGAGGCAAAAGATATAACATTTGTGAATGGAAAATTGGCCTCTTGAAGGTGTTTACAGATTTATAAATCTCTAAAGTTCAGGAAAAAATAGTATTCACTCTAAAAAAAAATCCATATTAAATAAGTTGTGTCATAAAACTTTCTTGGCCTTATAGCCAAGTTTTTGTCCGCCCAAGAGAGAGCCTGTAAAATGTCCTTCTAAGGGACCCTGCAATTTGTAGGCTCAACAACGCGGAATTCTGTTACTATTATAAAACTATTAGATCTCAGAAATACTTATTTAATCCACAAAAAAAGATTGCCTCTTTTAAATACTTATTAACGAAGTGGTATAAAAAATTGGCAAGAAAGTCTTTGTCCGCCCAAGAGAGAGCCTGTATAATGTGAAATGTCCTCTTTAGAGAGATACAACAATTTTTAGGCTCAATATAGATTATTTTTGTTACTCATAATAAAAATAAAAGCTTTCAACATCTCTTGATTATTGATTTGAAAACTTTCTGGCACTGGCATACAAATTATTGTCCGCCCAAGAGAGATCCTGTTAAGTTTCCTCTTAATATGGGAATAAGCTTAATGCGCATTATTTATATTGTATATTTTCTATAATATACATTATATAAGGTCTCAAAAAACCCCTTATTTTTGAAGTTCAAGATCACATCAACCCTTAAGTCTTTGTCCTTGAGTCCTTTTCATAAAATGGCACATATTTGTCCTTCTAATAGAATTTGTGTTTTATTTTCTTTTTGTTACCCTATTGTGTTATATTCACACATTCCCTCAATACACATTATACTGTTAAATTCTTTATTTAAAGCATACGTGCTATTTGAAATATATATATAAATATATATGTATGATATTGGGTTCTTAACTTGTTTCGCTACATACTTCAGGTGATTTCTCATCTTAAGGAAAGTGCCTTGCTTTTTTGTCCCAGAGTAGACTTTGGCAAAAAGTGGAAAAACAAAATGACAGATAGTCGGGAGTCGGTCTCCGATTGTGGCAGTGGCAGTGGCACCGTTGGCCATCAGAAGAGGAAAAGCCAAGCCAGCAAGTTGTTGCCACACGGCTGAGTCAGCAGTGAAAGCAGCAGCAGCAGCAGCAGCAGCAGCAGCGGATCGGATTGGATGGGGATTTAGATTGGGATTGAGATTGGGATTCGGATTGAGATTGAGAGATCTCACGGCTGAGAACCAGAACTCCAACTCCAACTTTGATAATATAATTATCCATCGCAGCGGCGGCGGCCACAATCAATGGTTTTATGGCAATAATGATGAGGCTGAGATCGCTGATTGCTGAAAACCGCAGCGGAAACGCTTTTGCCGCCAGCTCCGACTATCGATCAAAAAGAGCAACAAAGAAAAAGCAGCAAAAAAGCAACAAAAAAGCATAAACTATGTAAGGTCGAAGCACGGCGGCTAAATGCATATTAAGTAATTTCCAGGCAAGTGAGAAACGAGATAAAAAACAACGTAAATAGATACTTGTACGTCTCTATTTAGCGCATGTTTCCTTTTCCAAAAAAACATTCGCAGCGTGTTTTTTTCCTACTATGTTTTTGCTTTTGTATTAATTTTTGTTTTTCCTTGCTTTTTTGGTTCCGCTAAAGGCAAATGGCAAGTGCAAAAATTTGTTGCGAAAATTGATTAACATCAAACAGGTTGGCACCCTCTCCACACCACACCACTTCATTTTCCCCTCGAAACTATTTATGAAATTGCTGGTCAAAAGTTTTTAATTGAAACTCACAGAAAACGTAAACAGAGAGGAGAAAAAAACGTAAAGAAAATCCCAAATAAAAAGCAAGGCGAGCAAAAAAGCTGCGACAAAGATGATGATGATTGGGACATGAAGCTCGGAACTGTCGACGATATTCGTATATATATTTTTTTGATTTTAATGTTCACATATATACTATATAGGCATATATATATAACGTATATTATTTGGCAACATTTCACTGAGAAACCAAGCTGATAAACTGGTTTCGCAGTTTTTATTGAATTTTATACAACATTTGCATTGCTCACAGCCACCGTCGCACGAACAATAAACAATTTCAATGAGAAAAAATAAATATGTGAGCATCTCAAGCTCGTTAAGCCGAAGCTGAAGGTATTTGACCCATCAGCAATCCGTAGAATTGTTCTCCGAATCAGAAGCTGAGATCCCTTGGGGACCCACTGACAATCCATCCCTCCCTGAAACCTGGTAGAGCCAGCTGCTCTCGGTCTCTGAAAGGCTTTTCGGATATTCTGAATGAATGAATGAATAAACATTCGAACAAAAGCTTCCCGAAAAGGGGGAAAATCTCATGCTCTCATTCACTTCCTTTAGCATTAAGATCTTTCCCTTCCCTGTGTTTATTTTTGGGCGCCATTATCTCTGAGCTCTTTATTTTTATTTTTTTGAACCTGTCACTCTTCTCCGCTCCTCTCACTTTCATTTCGATTTTGATTTTTGATTTTTATATATTTTTTCTGGTTTGGGCAACCCGCTGATGAAGGGCCTTTCTAAATCTTTAATGGCCAGTGTTAATGCGACTGCTCCCCTTTTACCTTTTCTCGCGGGAATTCTTGCGGGACAAGTGAAAGAATTGAGTTGAAATCTTCCAAAGATTCGAAGAGGTTCTCTTTTACTAACAGACTCATATTGTTTACAAATTAAACTTAAATCAAATGATTTATATTTTCTACTTAAAGATTTCCCTAAAAAAGAAAATCCAATTCTACAGTCTCCTCTCCAACCCATTATTCCCACCTGACCTGTAGGCTACCGGCTGTCTTCTGGCTAGATTACGGTTTGCTTAAAGACTTCCTCTATGATCTATGGCTATCATGTAATGCCTCTGTCAGGGGGTACTTGAACTTCCCATTCTACATTCTCCACTCTCAGTTCGCCGTTCTCCGTTCTCCGTTCTTCACTCTGCATTCTCCCGGTTCTCCCTCTCTGAAGCGATTCTCCATTCTCCTGAACAGTTCGCTGAACAATGGAGTTCTTGTTGCTCTTTGTGTGTGCATTGTCTATGTAATCCATGGGGCACAAAGCCCGGCTGCTCCATACATAGTAATTAGAATCATGCACGGAGGAGCCTCCGTGCCTACCTCTATGTGTGTATCTGTGTATCTATGTATCTGCGTATCTGCGTATCTCCGGGGTTCGCTGACTGTGACTTTAACCGTCAGTCGTTAATTTGGGCTTCGTTTCAGCTTTTGCTTGTAGTTCGTAGTAATTATGAGCGACAGAAGCGGACCATTTCCCGCTGGAGTTTTTGATTCGGGATCGGATGGCCAAGACAAGACTACTTCTATATAGTCGCCCAGTCATTAATCACTCGAATTGGTCAGTTGAAAATTCAATTTCGTGGTCACAAAAACGACGACAAATTAACGTCTTTTTAATTGCTCGTATGTGTTTGGCTCTGTCTTTGCCACGTTCAACAACAACAACAACGTTCAACAACAACAACAACAACGTTCAACAACGCTCAAAAACAATATCCAACAACAGACGAAGCCAACACCAACAATGGCCAATTGTCATGTGAAGTCGTTGAACTCAAGAGCCCCTTAACAGCCAGAGTTTATTTAGTCCCCCTGTCTCTTTTTAATGTATTTATCTTTATCTTCTTTTTTTGATTTGGCTTTTAAGAGTCGGAGTTATACAATAGATCAGCTGCTGATCCATCATAAATTGTGAAACAAAAAGCTGCACTTTTTTTATTTTGAATATATGTAAATGTAAATAAAAAACAAAAACATCAAAATGATAGAAAAAGAGCAGCATTTGACTGGGCATGACCTTGACAAGGGCAGCCGCATAGCAAACGTGTTTACCAACAAATCGGTCTAAGCAAACCGGTCTCAGCCCGGCAATCTGCTCCCCATCCTCTCCTTCCCGGTTCAGCAGATATTTTCAGACATTTAGTTTTTTATTTTTATTTTTATTTTTTTTTGGTGACGCTTCACAGATTTCCCGCACGTAAAATTGTCGCGCAAAAAAATATAAAAATAATAACAAAAAGAGCGAGCAAACAAAACAGAACTTACCACGTGCCCCCAAAGCAGACTGGCGCCCAAGCAAAAAGCAGACTTGCAACAGAGCAACCAAGCAGAGCTGAGCAGTTGGAATGGAATTAAACACTCTCCATGAGAAGGCAGGCATGCAAACAATTAATGCCGAAATTATAGCACTGTTTTTAAGATCAAATTTCAGTAAAAAAAATGTTCCAGAATTTAAAAACAAATTGAGAAGAAAGTGATAAGACAAGAAATTCAATCCTTCAATGAGAATAGAGAATATCCAAGTTGTTCTATAAGCTTCGGCTTGAAATTGCTCAAAGGTGATTAAAAATTTGTTGAGGAAATCAGAAAAGTATTTCAGATATTTAATTTCTAAATGATCTATAACAAATTTCTGAACACTGGCTCCTACAATTTGCTCCCCAGTTGTGCTTTTTGGGTGAATGTGCATGTGCCTGGACTGGGTCTAACAATTGCAGTTGATTTCTTGCCGCCGCCTCTCTGTTTTCTTCCCTTTCAATTGCAATTCGACTCAATTGAGCTGAGTACGAAAGCGTGAAAAACTTGGCGAATTCAGCCCAGTCATAATAATAATAGGAGTTGACCGGCCACTGACCACCACCAGACAGGCGACGCGACGCGACGTTGGATCGTTG